AGCAGCTTTAAAGTCAACAAAAAGGTGGTGTGTGTCGATTTGCTTATCTAGTGTCTTCTCCAGGATTTGACGTGCTGTGAAAATCTGGTCAATGGTGGTCTTACCAGGTCTGAAGCCACACTGATAAGTTCCAATCAGCTGGTTCGTGAACGGGTTCAGTATTTCGCACAGTATTGTCGTCAGGACCTTGTATGCAATATTAAGAAGGCTTATTCCGCGATAATTGCCGCAAACGGCGGGATCTCCCTTCTTGCGGATTGGGCAAAGTACACTGAGATTCCGTTCTTCGGGCATGTATTCATCAGACCAAATTCTGCTTAAACGCTGGTACATACGCCCCACCAGGGGCGCACCCAGGAATATACTTTGGGAGGGGTTTATACTTCTGAAAATTCGCTTCAGATAAAATGGTCATTAAAGTACATTTATGGAAGTTTTATGTACAGTATGCAATAAATAAATAAACTTTTTGAAGTTTCATAAATAGCATTTATTTAAATAAAATTAGCAAAAAACTCAAACATTTGTAACCGACTTCGAAAAAGGGGTAGGTTATCAATTCGTCGGAATAGTATGCTAACGCATAACTTTGGACCACGTGAACCGATTTCAATAATTCTTTTTTTTTATCGGAAAGATGGTACCTCAAGGGTCTTCCCGTAATTTGAAATTGCTTGTTTAATATAAAGTTCTATAAACACAACATGCGCTCAACTTGCAAAAGTAATAAAAAAATAAAAAAATAAACAGTTTTAATGTTCATTTTCCTCGATATCTGGTTTCTGGTTTTCGAATGAGATGGTGATTTTTTACGATTGCCTAATATTTTTAATATTTCGAATACCGAGAAAATTAAATGAACTTGAATTTTTGTTATGTAGGCAATTTTGGTGGAACGAATTCGAAGTGGGCAAATTAAATCTTCGAATCCTTGTTAAGGACATATCAGTTGTAAACTCTTTGAGGCTCAGTTAGTGAGTATGCATTGCATATTTGTAGGTTTCATTCGCAGTTAAACTTTTAAGAGCTCTCAAAAAAAAAACGAAAAATTCATATAAAATGGCGCACAAGAAATGGAATAGGAATTTTCTTATATCAAAATTTCTTAAATCAATTTGCATCTCTCAAGAAAAAAATGCTCGTATATTTATTTCTTCAAGAAAATTTACAGCAGAAGCAAAGTGCTTTATGATAAAAAATATTTCTTGTGATTTTTCTTGAGAGCTGGCTTTAGGATACAGTTTGTATTTCAGGTTATTAGCTTTAGGGGGAGTTTGAACCCCAAAACCCACCCCTTGTGTGCGCTTATGCGCCCCACCAACTCTTCGCCACCGGCTTTGAACAGCTCAGCCGGTATACTGTCGGCTCCGGGGCTTTGTTGTTCTCAAGCCGCTTTATTGCTGTTCTCACCTCTTTTTGGTCCAGTTGGTGGACGTGAGCTTCGTCCCTATACATTGGTTCGGGTTCTCCTTCATCAAACGCGCCATCTGTTTCGCCATTTAAAAGCAATGAAAAGTGTTCCCTCCATATCTCAAGTGTACTATGGATATCTGTTACCAGGTTGTCATCTTCATATTTGCAGGAGCTAGCCCCGGTCTTAAAACCATTTAAATACTGCCTTATTTTCTGATAAAATTTTCGAGCCGCGTTTCTGTCCGCATCTCAAGCTCTTCGCACTCATGCCTTTCTGCCTCTCTTTTCTTTCTCTTGAAAAGGCGTCTCTCTTCCCTCCTTTTCTCCCGGTAACGCTCAATTATCGCGCGTGTCGCCATTGGCTGAATGGTAGCTTTGTATGCTCCGAATTTTTCTGCAGCAGCCGTGCGGCACTCTTCGTCGTACCAGTTGTTTCTGCGCGGCTGGTAGTAACCAACAACCTCTTCCGCAGCGGTACGAATTGATTGGGAGATGGAGTCCCACTGCTCATTTATGTCCAGGCGATGAGGAGTTGCTTGATTAAGCAGGATTGAGAGTCGTTTGCTAAATTTTTCGGCTGTCCGTTGTGACTGCAGCTATGCGATGTCGAACTTTCGCCGCGTTGCCTTCCGCACTTTTTTTATTGCACAGAGGCGCATGCGGAGCTTAGCTGCAACAAGGTAGTGATCCGAGTCGATGTTGGCACCTCGGATAAAGCGCAGGCCAAGAACGCTCGAAGCGTATGTTCCATCTATCACAACATGATCAATTTGGTTCTTTGTTCTTTGATCAGGGGACACCCAAGTTTCTTTGTGGATGTTTCGATGCTGGTGTCTGGTACTACTGACTACCATGTTCCGTGCCGCGGCGAAGTCGATCAGCCTCTCTCCGTTATCGGAAGTGTTGTCATGAAGGCTGAATTTTCCGACTGTTGGACCAAATATGCCTTCTTTGACCACCCTGGCGTTAAAGTCGCCCAGAACGATTTTAATATCGTGGCGGGGGCAGCGCTCATACGTCGTCACGTCGTCCTTCTCTTCCGTCGGGTCGTGCACACAAGGCTGATGTTGTCAAATTGCGCCTTTATGCGGATTGTGGCGATTCGTTCACTGATGGGTGTGAACCGGGAGACAAGGTGTCGGAGTCTCCGCCCAACCACAAATCCGAAACCAAATTTGTGCGCCGTCTCATGGCAGCTGTAGTAGATGACGCATACTGCAAAGTTTTTGCAGCCATGCCCCGTTCATCGCATTTCCTGGATTGTGGTGATGTCAGCCTGGTATTTTGTTATGACATCCAGCAGTTGGATAGAGGCACCTTCCCTATAGAGGGTCCGGACATTCCAGGTGCATATCCGTAATTCATAGTCCTTGTTCCGTCGCCAACGTGCGGGGATGCAGTTACCCGAGGCTTTTTTGGTCTTTTCATTGGCAATATTTTTTTTACGTGGCGGGTCCGAAACCCAGCGCACAACCATTGCTGGGGTGAATGGTATTCAACCGGATACGTATTTGTATAGCGGGCCGCTTGCTCCAAGACAGACGCCCGCTTACAGCCACACCTTCTGGTGAGCAGACGCTGCAGACTTCAGTGAGCCCTTAAACCGAATAAGTTGGAGTGACCCCACCAAAGCTCCCTCTCTTCCTGCCGTGACCCAAGGCTCCACTCGGGTTGGTTACCGCATCTTGCACATGGGTTGCTCACGTTGCCCAGAGTGCGCGAACGAGGACGCAAGAGTCGGGATTGAGTATAGCCGTGCGACTGTAACTGCATACCCAGCACAACGACTATACCCCATTGCACTCCAACTATTAGGTGAATTATAATCAGCCTTTACTGTCGCTCACACCAGTTTGGAGGAACTGGATTTTCCTTCTGTTGCCAGTGTTCTTCCCTGCAAATTTGATTTCACGGTAACAAATCTTAAGGCGAACCTGCAACGAGAGATTGGGAAACGTACTACATCTCACCACTGCTCGACATTCAGAGCGAACGCCGGCGATTCCCAGTCGATCATCGTGACCGGTAATCCTTCTCGCTTGCCTTTGCTGACGTTGCCTAAATTTGGTGGTGCCTACACTGAGTGGATGAACTTTCTTTCGATGTTCATCTCTGTCATCGATAAGGATAGCGACCTAACGCAAACCGATAAACTGCAGCATCTACGTTCTACTTCTTAAAAAACGATTTGATAACAAAAGACTTATCTTTCAGGCACACATCAGGGAGGTCTTTGGGTTGGAAAGGGTAGGTACATCCGTTAGCAAGCTACGAGTGTTGACGGACAAAGTCACTTCTCATATGCGCGCGTTGTAATCACTTCCGTCCAAGGAACACATCGCAGACTGTATCATTATACGATTGTTAACTCAGAAGCTGGACAAGGCAACCCAAGCTTAATTTGAGAAGAATCCTTCGAGCAACGAGCTGCCGTCGTGGGACCAATTAGCTGACTTTTTAGAGAAGTGCTGTCGAACACTCGAAAATGTAGAGCATGCCACGGTAGAGCAAGGATTTCAGGTTGGAAAAAATGGAAAAAACGTGAGTACCAATCAAAATAAATCATTTCTTGCTTCGAAAGACTCTGTGTGTGGTTGCGCATTTTGTGGATCGGCTGATCATCTCATTTTCCAGTGCCAACGGTTCGCAAATTTATCGCCAAACCTTCGTCAGAAAGAGGCCAAGAAACTTTCTCTTTGCCTTAATTGTCTAAAGGCGGGCTTCAGATTTTTCTACACGTATTAGAGCCGTTGTTGCCCAAACCATCATTGAAAATCACCCTAGTTTTTCAGTGGTCACGGCGGAACATTCCTTCAAACATTCAACTAGCTGACCCAAATTTCAACTTACCACAGCGCATTGATATGCTCATCGGAGCAGGATTGTTTTTTGAACTACTTTGTGTGGGGCAGATTCAGTTGGCACGCGGGCTGCCAATACTTCAAAAAACCCTTCTGGGCTGGGTGATATCCGGCGGTGGTCAACAGTCGTCAAATCTTTCGTCATTTATAGTTAACAAAAGGTCTTCCAGCTGCGAAGATTTGAGCGCTAGACTAGACGATTTAGTACGTCGTTTTTGGGAAGTTGAGCATGTTCTCGAACCGATCGTTAGGGCAACTAAAGAAGAGCTTGACTGTGAGGCGCACTTCAAAAATTATATTTCGCATTTGATCTCTGGTGAGTACTCAGTTCGACTGCCACTGAAGCTCCCTCCTGAGGCATTAGGCGATTCATACCTGCAAGCTAAGTGCCGTCTCGAAGGTCTGGAGCAGAAACTAGCCCGAAATCCTGACATGAAAGCCAACTATTCAGATTTAATTCAGGAGTATCTTGACCTCAATCACATGTCGCTAGTCCCCAGCGCATCCGTTCAAGAGTGTAAATATTTCTTACCTCATGATTGCGTCATGAAAGATGATAGCTCCAAAACAAAGCTCAGAGTCGTATTTGATGGTTCTGCTTCCACAAACTCGGGGTTGTCTTTGAACGACGTACTCATGGCGGGCTCAACGATTCAGCCCAAACTCTTCGATATTCTCCTTCGATTTCGCTCATTCCCCGTTGCACTCACCGGAGACGTATGCAAAATGTATCGGTGCGTTCGAGTTGCTGCACCCGATAACATGCAATGCATATTGTGGCCTAACTCGCCAGAAGATGAATTCAGCGTCTATAAGCCGGATACAGTTACGTATGGAACCAAGCCAGCAGCGTTTCTGGCCATACGGGCAATGCATCAGCTCGCCTCGGATGAGTCCTCATTTTACCCCTTAGGCGCACAAATCGTTATGCGCGACTTCTACGTAGATAATCTGATATCCGGTGGAAACACAGTAGAAGAAGTACTCGAAATCAAGCATCAATCGACCAGCCTCCTCGCTCGCGGCAATTTCCGCTTACAGAAGTGGTGCTCCAATAACCAGGAGGTTCTGAGTGATATCCCTGATGCTTATAGAGAAAGTTTCCTGAAATTTGATGACGGTAGCAACATCACCAAAGCATTGGGTCTTGTATGGGATCCACTCAAGGATAGTTTCTTGTTTGCTTTCACTTCCCGAATTGCACCTGGCAGGAATTCCAAACGTTCTGCATTGTCTACCATAGCTCGTTGCTATGATCCACTTGGACTTATTGGTCCGACTCTAACAAAGGCGAACATTATTCGGCAGCGTATGCGGAGGGATAAACTTGAGTGGGACGAGAGCCTACCGCAATCGCTTGATACAGCTTGGTCTGCGTTCTGCAAGGACTTCGTCGACGTGCATCACTTATCATTCCCGCGTTACATCGGAGCCACACAGGAAGTCCACGCATTTTGCGATGCCAGCCTCGAGGCATGCGGCGCTTGTATTTATGCTCGCTTAATCAAAGATGGCCACATTCAAGTTCATTTATTGTGTTCAAAGGCTCGACTCGCCCCGCTGAAGACGCTTACTGTGCCAAAGCTAGAGCTCTGCGCTGCTGATTTACTAGCGCATTTATTAGCCGAAATCGCAAAGATGAAGGCATTTGATTGCTCGTTTTACTGCTGGTCGGACTCGACTGTGTCATGGCTAATGGAAATATCCTCTAAATTCAACGTGTTTATACGTTCCTACAGCCGTGAACCCAGCGGATATTTTGTCTATTTGCGCCAGCTGAGCTGTCACGTTCAACGCTTTGGACCCACGGTCCACCATTCTTGCAGGTAACAGAGGCCAGTTAACACCGTGTCCCATACCACACTTCCTGATATTCGGCTCTGGTGACTTTAAACGATAGAATCGATATCTCACTCTTTTTTAAATACATAAGCTCTTTGAGCGCGATGCAACGCATTTTTTGTTACGTGCATAAATTTTTAAACATACGCAGATCGAAAGGAATGCCGCATCTCACCTGTGAAAACGTTCATCAAGGAACTCAACTTTTAATTCGCCTCGTTCAAAGAGCGCAGCTTTGGCCAGAGTACGGTGGGCTGAAGAACAACAAAAGTGTCCACCCTTCAAGCAGCGTTCGTTGTCACCATTCTTGGATGACCCGGGAGCTATTAGAGTTGGTGGCCGACTAAGGCATTTATCGCTCGGCTTCGTAGCACGACATCCAGGCATTCTTCCGAAGGATCATCCTTTAACGTTCGCCATAATTACTTATTTTCATCGCAAGTGTCAGCACGCAGGCCCCCAGTCCCTTCTAGCTTCAATCCACATGCAGTACTGGCCCATATGGGGAAGAAAGACTTTGGCACGCGCCCTACGAAAATGCATCATATGCTGCAGATCAAAGCCACGACTTTTCGGGCACATCATGGCGGATTTGCGAAAAGAACGCATTCAAGCCTCGCGTGCCTTTATCATCTCTGCAGTGGACTATTGCGGGCCATTCTATTATAAGCCGCAGTAAATCGCCCCAGAAATGCTACATCAGCGTATTCATTTGTTTTGCAACAAAGCCGTTTGGATGGAACTCGTTAAGGAACCTTCAACTGGTGTTTTCCTGATTGCTCTAAAACGATTTGTCGCTACGCGTGGTACACCAAGCTGCATCTGGTCTAACAACGCAACCAATTTTGTAGGAGCCTGTTTCTCAGTGAAAGGCATCGTAGTGATGTTCACGCGCACTGCCTTAACAATGGTTTCGTTTGGCGACTCATACCGCCTCGTTCGCCGCGCTTCGGTGGCCTTTGGGAGCCCGCAGTAAAAATGGCAAAGCAGCATTTGTATCGCACTGTTGGAACTGCAATTCTTGGTTTCGACGAATTGCGCACCTTGGTATGCGAAATCTCTGCCATAATTAATTCTCGCCCACTTGCGTCAATTTCAGAGAATCCCGACGATATTGACGTATTGACGCCAGGTCATTTCCTCATCGGTGGCCCCCTTACAACACTTCCAGAACCGGACCTTACGCCACTAAATTACAATCGGCTCGATCGATGGCAGCGCGTTACCTATCTGCAACAAATCTTCTGGAGGAGGTGGAGTGAAGAATACTTGACTATTCTCCAGCAGCGCACCAAGTGGCGCACTCCCCAGCCCCATATCCAAATTAACGACGTTGTATGCATCAAGGATGAAAATTCTGCGCCTCTAAAGTGGCCACTGAAGTCATCACTGGTATAGATGGTGTTGCTCGAGTTGCGGTCCTGCGTACCCCCACTGGCATTACGCGTCGAGCAGTGAATAAGCTGTGCGTCCTTCCTGTTAAGGATTCTGTTGAAAGCCATGACCTTTCAATGGAGTGGAGGATGTTCGGAGCAGCAGCTGGAACCTAACTAGAAGAAAATCATTTTACATCATATTAATTGTTGTACAACTAAAGTCACGGCCACGTACCATTTGATTAGTAAAAACATTGTCCTGAAATAAATTACAACTAAACAAAAACCACAGTGCGTTCAATGATTTTGGACATTTATAGCTGCAAAAAAGGCTTTGTAGCTCATTAGTTTATGTGTCGCGCTTTGTCGCCTTACATTTAAAATGTGGTAATAGTTTGAACCTTTGCCTATCTGAATGGAAAATAAAATCTTTTGACACACTGCTGCATTTAGCATGTTAACAACCCCTCAAGAAGTGGCAAGCCCGTACACCGGAAGAGAAAATGATTGTTAAAGAAACAAAAGAGAAATTACAGAAATCTTTCAGAGAAGAAATGGGTCTACTTGTTGATGTTCCTAAAGCTGGCTTTGGAAATAGCAATGATGGGAATACGTCCAGGAGATTTTTCCAAAATGCAGAATGCTCTTCATCAACTTGGAATTAATCAATAAGTTTAAAGTGATTCTTGAGGTAATCTCAAGTGCTCATGGCCACCATCACCAAAAATTTGATGATTATGCCCAAGACACTACCAAGCTGTATGTGGAACCGTACGGCTGGCATTCAATGTCGCCTACAGTCCACAAAATTCTGATGGACGGAGCGCAAGTGATGGCAGAAGCAATTCTGGCAATTGGACAATTGTCCGAGGAAGCCGCTGAGGGTCGAAATAAGCATATTCGCAAATATCGGGTAGACTTTGCAAGAAAATTTGCGAGGACTCAGTGCTACAGAGACATTTTAAATAGATTACTTTTAACATCCGATCCTCTCACAGCTCGAGTCGGCCAAAGAATAAAAAGAAAATCTTGCCATTTTCCGCCGAGGAAAAAATCATTTTGATTGCTGTAAGACCGAACTTAAATATGTCGGACGACAATACTGTTGAAGATATTGATGATGATGAAGAGGATTCGGATGTTGACAGCGAAACGGGTGGCGACAGCGAATCGGATGGCACTGACTCCGAATAAAATCAAATTTTATAAAATTTTTACTTAAACAATTTTTTTTCTGTTTTTTTAATGTATTTTTATTAATAAATCCAAAATATTGATTAGATATTGTTTTTTATTATATTTTGAGATAATATAGGCCCCTAAATAATTTTGACCGGGTTTTCGGCTCAAATACCCCTTAGTGCAACGTAGAGAAAGCATAGGAAGTGCTAATTCCGTCAGGTCGGAAAACAATTTGTTGCCATCTGCATCCGTATTAGTTTGAACTTCTGCCCAAAATTGCATTGTATTACTTACATATATTTTTCCATTTCACAAAATTAATTCTATTATATTGAATAAATATTTTGTATATGATATCATCACTGTAATTAAAATGTTTGAACATCTTCTATCTCCTCATGTGTTGCACGTAAAACATTGCCCACGGGAAACATAGGGCTGTTCAGGATCTTGTACATATGCTCTTGCATTTGAATATTCGTTGCGTTTGGAAATTCACAACAATTAAATTGCACACGGTTGCTATGGTAGCAAATTCGCAAATGCATCCTGAACAGCCCTATTATCTTTTTTAATCTGGTAATTTTAAATACATATGTATGTACTATATTGTATAAGGGAAAAAGCTGGATTTCCCGCTTCCGTGATTTCTCATTTCCTGCCGCTAAATGGATTCCGAAATAGCCAGATTTGACTGGAAAAGAGCTAAATTGGCAGCCCTGATATGAATGTATGTACATATGTGTAATACAAGTAAATGCCTTTCGGTTGGAACGAGTGTAGGAATGTGCACAAATACATATATGAAGGTTAAGTACAATTTTCAGTATTATGGGGTATCTGCATGTTATTTTTCTATTACTACGTTTATACGCACAGAATAATCGACTTAATTGAAAGCGCATTGACACCGTACATATTTCGCTCTAGTGTTTATACTTACAGCTTTATATCGGCATCAAAGTAACCGTCTTCAAAAGCAAACAAAATAAGCTGTTTTCATTTGACATTTTATAGGTTAACATAATGGAAAGTGATAAAAATCTAGTTTTATTCGGCATTATAAAATCGTGGCAAAGAAAAAGAACGATTATTATTAATCAGCTGTTAAATACTGATGCGATTATTTGGAATTTGAGCGGAACAGCTGATCTCCAATTCGCTTTGAGTGAGAGCGGTGTTTATACACTCTTTCTAACTGTCTGGAGAAATAAACTACCGATTTGAAATGGAGTGTGAGCCAAAACACTTCGCTCTTTCAAAGCGAATTGAAATTCAGTTTATACATATGTTTTGAATCGCGGCGAAATGAATTAAAGCGACTTATGCATGTGTATAAACGTAGTATATAATGATTGCGGTTTTTTATTCAGGGCTATCACAGAATCCATCCTGTCGGAATAAAATTTAAAATCGCTGAATCTTAAAAATAATGCAAAAATGCAGCGTTACTGTCAATAATAAATGTTTATTTTACTAAATGCAGACGTAAAACGCCAATGCCACATATTCATATGTACATTCATACATACGTATTTTAGACACTATTTAATAAATAATTATTTTTAATGAAGCGAGAAAACATTAGTTCAACAACATTTTATTAGGAAAGAAACCTTATTACTTTACATCACAAAAATTTGTTTATATAACAATTTTAATTGAGCTTGAGGCCGTTTTTAATGAAAAATTATTGTGGAAAAGCAATAACAATTTGAAAAAATGGTAGAAGTGATAGCTATTTCGGAAATCACCACAACAAGCAGCAACAGTTTATAAGGTTAACGTAGCACAGCGCGTAGGCAACTGGCTTATTCAGCTGGAGTCGTCGGTTCCATTTTTCATAATAAAATAATCGTGGTACCAAGCTCAATAAAAATATTAAAATAAAATGTTAATAAGCCACAATAACATTGCCAAATACATAGTTTAGGAAGAGCCTGCCTGAAACTATACAAAAAAGCAAAATAAGCAAATGGATGTATAGAACTGACAACAACAAACACGCTGTCAAGTTTAAATAGCGGAAAATCAGCTTCACTTGATAGCAGTAGATTACGCGGTTCGATCCCTGCTGAAGTCTAGAAAAAAGAAGTCTGATTAGGAGATGTGGTGATTTAGCACAAAGTGCCAAAATGGCACTTTTGAAAAATAGTAATATTTCAATACATTTTTGTGAACTCCATTGGGTGTACTTCCATTTCGCAACTAAAATTTTTTAATTTCTGTAGTGTATACAACTGGTTATCTTACTTTGGCACTGGACTTTTAATTTAGGAATGTGTTTCTAATTTTAATGCGAAATGGGAAGAATTAAAAAGAATGGCACCTTTTTTGGCACTTCTATTTTTCCATTTGGCACATTTAGGAACTTTTTTATCTTCAATATGGCACTTCATAGCAAAGTACAGCAGCCCTGCATCAGATTCAGCCAAGCAAAGAGCACCATCTTACTCTTCCGCAGTGATCAATGCGGACAACAACGTAGCTGCCGCTACTAATACTTCGGTCGGTGTTATGCAGACAAACTTTTGTTTGGCAAATTAAATGGCAGTTGCGTGGACTGCTCAGAGGGGGTTATGTCGAGTTTGGCACAGGGAGGCACGCTGATTGTGATTTTCATGGCTATTGCCAACACGAAATAAAACTTGCAGATGTACATGCCGTGCACAAATTAATAGGTTTTTTTTTTTTAGGCAATTAACTGTGTCCTAAGCTTTGAAACTCCTACAGCATAAATTCAGTTCTCTGTCATTCAGTATCACTGCAATTTTTGTGTATAACAATGATAACCTACAATTTTTTGCATAGCAACACTAATTTTACATAACACTCTCTGAGTTTGCTGCAACAACAATTGCACGCAGTTTGCCAAACAAAATTTCTGCATAACGCCGACCTTCGACGGCAACAAACAAAGAAGAAGAATGTAAAGCAAACAACGCTAGTGTTTCGACTGGGTTAGATTGCTACATATTAACTAGNCAAACACGCTGTCAAGTTTAAATAGCGGAAAATCAGCTTCACTTGATAGCAGTAGATTACGCGGTTCGATCCCTGCTGAAGTCTAGAAAAAAGAAGTCTGATTAGGAGATGTGGTGATTTAGCACAAAGTGCCAAAATGGCACTTTTGAAAAATAGTAATATTTCAATACATTTTTGTGAACTCCATTGGGTGTACTTCCATTTCGCAACTAAAATTTTTTAATTTCTGTAGTGTATACAACTGGTTATCTTACTTTGGCACTGGACTTTTAATTTAGGAATGTGTTTCTAATTTTAATGCGAAATGGGAAGAATTAAAAAGAATGGCACCTTTTTTGGCACTTCTATTTTTCCATTTGGCACATTTAGGAACTTTTTTATCTTCAATATGGCACTTCATAGCAAAGTACAGCAGCCCTGCATCAGATTCAGCCAAGCAAAGAGCACCATCTTACTCTTCCGCAGTGATCAATGCGGACAACAACGTAGCTGCCGCTACTAATACTTCGGTCGGTGTTATGCAGACAAACTTTTGTTTGGCAAATTAAATGGCAGTTGCGTGGACTGCTCAGAGGGGGTTATGTCGAGTTTGGCACAGGGAGGCACGCTGATTGTGATTTTCATGGCTATTGCCAACACGAAATAAAACTTGCAGATGTACATGCCGTGCACAAATTAATAGGTTTTTTTTTTTTAGGCAATTAACTGTGTCCTAAGCTTTGAAACTCCTACAGCATAAATTCAGTTCTCTGTCATTCAGTATCACTGCAATTTTTGTGTATAACAATGATAACCTACAATTTTTTGCATAGCAACACTAATTTTACATAACACTCTCTGAGTTTGCTGCAACAACAATTGCACGCAGTTTGCCAAACAAAATTTCTGCATAACGCCGACCTTCGACGGCAACAAACAAAGAAGAAGAATGTAAAGCAAACAACGCTAGTGTTTCGACTGGGTTAGATTGCTACATATTAACTAGTAATTTTTAGCAAAAAAAAAACCGACTTCAACTTACATATAAAAAAAAAATATATATATATATCTCATGATCCGCATACGAGATTAGTATGGGACCACCTCTGAGACACTACCTTTCCGATGCAAAAAGAATTATCGAAATCGGTTGACGCGGTCCAAAGTTATGCGGTAACATACATTAAAAAAAAAAAAAAAAAAATATTCCGACGAACTGATAACCTCCTCCTTTTTTGGAAGTCGGTTAATAAAGCGAAAGCGCTCACCCGAAAAAATAGAAAATAAAGTCCAAAAAATAAAATTTTTAAAGTAGTAACTTCAGGTACATCTACATCGGCGGAGAATAATCGTTTTAGTATTCTCGCTGATATGAATAATTACTCTTACCAACAGGTAGTTAAAAAGGACAAGCCTCCACTTATTTATCTACGAGAAACACAGTATATAGAGTAATAAACCTTTTTGATTACTCCTCGGGGGTAAAATCTGATCAGGGTTGATAATGAGAAGGACCTTGAATTTTGCTGATTCAGAGTTGCATACAAAGTTACTGTGGTATGAAAGGGAGCAACAACCGTACCATGGCAAAGTGGCAGAGGTAATTTGGTAAACAACACTTTTCTTATAATTTTAAAGCAGTAGTGGGCATTTCATATAACGCGTACACAGGGCTGCCAACTATGAGGTGCGATATTGATGATAAAAAAGTGCCAAAGTGTGTCAAATAGAGAAATAAAAGTGCCAAAAAAGATGCTATTCTTGTTAATTCTTCCCATTTAGCAATTAAATTAGAAACACATTTCTAACACAAAAGTTCAATGCCTAAGTAAGAAAAATCAGTTGTATGCACTATAAAAATTAGAAAATTTTAGTTGATAAAAAGAAGTACACGCAAAGGAGTTCACAAAAATATATTGAAATATTAGTATTTTTTAAAAGTGTCATTTTGGAACTTTGTGCCAAATTTAAAAATTGAGTGCCATTTGGAGTAAATTAGAGCCACAAATGGCACGGTTTGAGCCAATTTGCAGCCCTGCGCTCAACTG